TTATTCATTTTTCCCAGTAAATGTGAATTTGATTTATATTTACCATCCCCATTAGTCTGCGTTTGAAAATAAGCAGGAGATGCTTAGGGCAGAGACTGCTATTTATACCTAGAATGGAACAGGAAGATGTGCATGTAAAGTCTATGGAGTATTGACAAAAGCTCGGTGGTGACCCAGGACTATTCTAAACAGAAGGGCTGCTGGGCAGGATTGAGGGGCATTGGCACAGCTATATGGGGAGACCAAAACTGGAATAGTAGGGGGTGTAAATCAGGATTGAGCAACAACAGTATCTGTCTGCACTATAACTCATTCTAATCAATTCTAGTTATCTTCATGAGTACTAGTTAATATTTATCAACTTACCTACTTTCCACAATTATCTCAGTGTTAATAACATAATGACTTGTCAGGCAGACAGAGATATGTGTCTTTCCAGCCCAAGTTATCCCAAGTGTTTGGTTACTATATTGCTTACTGTGGAATTTTGGCAAATGGAGATGCCCATGCATATGCTTATGCAAATTGAGTAGCAATATTTGTGAGAAGAGGACTGTTTGCTAAAGTCTTTGGAATGGGAACAAGAAGGTACATAAAAAGAAGAACTATAAAGGAGATCTCCCAAACAAAAAGAGAACTCAGAATAATCACCACCTTTTGACTTTGTTGGAATTGATTTGTTGTTTTTATACTATTCAGCAAAACTACCTTGATATTCTGTGCTGTAATCATTCTGCTTTCAGTGAGTTTATAAAGGAGGATTTGGGAATTAACTCTTCCAGTGAGGAACTAGAACCACACCCACTGCCAAACATCACCAATCAGCTTTCTGCTCTTGGCCCTTGCTTCCTGGAACATAGTTTCCTAGGAGATGGGCTAAATCTGGAGCCTTATGAAGAGTGACTATTGCTTTGCATCTGATTCTGAATTCAGCCTGCCCCATCAAACAATTTTACTGTTTATGTCCTGTTGTCTAGATATCTTTACTATACATGGAACTTTGTTTTGCCTCTAAGCATTCTTTACTCTTGTTCTCTGAGTGAGGTCCTCTTTACTTAGACATTTTCCATTTAAAGGAAATAATGCTTTTTAGTCTCTTTTAATAGTTATCTTGGCTTTAGGGATTACTTCTATTTTTATTCCTCTTCCTGCCCCTTATTCTCAAAACACCATTTAAGAGGAGAAAAAGATAAAGCAGGAGCAGCTTTAAATACATCTCTTACCATAGACTTTACCATGATTTCCAGAGAAACAATGAGTGCAGAAAGTAGATTTGTTTTTCTACTCCTCAGTTCATTGTATAATCTCAACTGGTTTTAGAAGAATTTAGGTGAGCAGAACAGGAATCTGATTTTTAGTTCTTCACTGAAATATATTTCATATATGCTTGGAAACTCTTCATTATTTATTATTGCCATTTTGACAGCATTTGATAATGAAGTTTGGGAACAGAAACTGATGTGTGCTGAGTCAATTTTTGGTCTTTGGCCCTGATCTGCCAATTCTTTCATGGAAAAAGTTCCAGTTACCTTTGTGACAGGTATGGCAATTTCCTGACATATCCTTGGGAGATTGTATTGAATTAAGTTTAAATATCTTTGGGATCCATTATATTAAATTCATGGTTTATGTGGTGTTGTGAGCTCGGAGTATATGTCTCATGGGAGGAGCTGTGACAGATGTGAGATGGTGGGGGGGGGGGGGTTAAGGGACTATATTGAACAATGTGCCAGGCAAGAATGGACTTTTGGAACAAAAAGCGTTAAGTAGTTTTCTTGGGAAATATGTAGGGGGAGGTGAATAACAACTCCCCACCTCCAGTTATGCAAAAACCCAGCCTGTTGAAGCTGTGCCCTGAGAAGGGGGTTCATAGTCTGTTGATCACCTGTTATGTGAGTTCAAGATCAAAGGCTTATGCTGTATAAAGGAAAGACTGAATTATTCGCTGTTGTTCTGGTTCTGAATCTGAAACATGTATGAACTTGTAAATCCGGGGAGAACCCAGTTGTCGGTCTTGAAGGACTGATACCTAGCAGAGACCGAGGTTGGAGTTCGGATGAACTCTAGTAAGTTTTTAGCATGTGTATAGGGTCACTTCTTGTTTTTAATATGTTGTATTTGTATCCTCAGAATAAGTGTGCTTGCTTATAAAGAGCTGTGTGGTAACTTGTAACCACTGGCAATACACTTGTCATAACTTCTGAGAGAAAGAAAAGCACAGATGTTGGCTTCTTTGGGTGGAGTGGCTGGCTGGGGATGTCACAGTGAACTCAGACAACTGTACGTTCTGAAAAAAACCCTGGTCAGTAGAGAGAGACATTCAGGCCTCTTCCCCAGAGGGAACAGCTGCGAGCTGGAAACCTTTAAGTGGATGCTCTCGGTCTACTGTGGAGGGGGAATAGATGTACAATTACCCTGAACTGTGACAAACTTAAATATCTCTTCCTCTGTGACCATGACAACTTTTGACAGCTAAATTCTACAGGAACAATGGAGTTGTCAATCACATGAGTAACACCAGACAGCACTGGAGACAGATATCTCAGTAGCTGTCCAGAAACATGAAGCTCCCTCCTAGAACTAAGTCATCAAGGCCACAAATGTTTCACCTTTAGAATGAACTTGAAAATCTCACCTCTGATAGCCACCCACCCACACAAACAAAGAATGAATATTTCCTTCCAGCTGGGGGATGGTAAGGCAAATGTGTGTCCTGTGTCTTTCTGTTAAAATATATCTGCTGATTAGGGCTGTCAATTAATCACAGTTAACTCATGCAATTAATTCAAAAAAATTAATCATGATTAATCGCAGTTTTAAGCGCACTGTTAAACAATAGAATACCAATTGAAATGTATTAAATATTTTGGATGTTTTTCTACATTTCCATATATATTGTATTGTAAGAACATAAGAACAGACATACTGGGTCAGACCAAAGGTCCATTTAGCCCAGTATCCTGTCTTCCGACAGTGGCCAATGCCAGGTGCCGTAGCGGGAATGAACAGAGCAGGTAATCACCAAGTGATCCATCCCCTGTGGCCTTTTCCCAGCGTCTGGCAAACAGAGGCTAGGGTCACCATACCTGCCCATCCCAACTAATAGCCATTGATGGCCTATCCTCCATTAACTTATCTAGTTCTTTTTTGAACCCTGTTATAGTCTTGGCCTTCACAACATCCTCTGTCAAGGAGTTCCACAGGTTGACTGTGTTGTAATTCTGTGTTGTAATTGAAATCCAAGTGTATATTATTTTTATTACAAATATTTGCACTGTAAAAATGATAAACAAAAGAAATAGTATTTTCCAATTCACCTGATACAAATACTGTAGTGCAATCTCTTTGTCATGCAAGTGCAACTTACAAATGTAGATTGTTTTTGTTACATAACTACACTTAAAAACAAAACAATGTAAAACTTCAGACCCTACAAGTCCATTCAGTCCTTCTTCTTGTTCAGCCAATCGTTAAGACAAAAAAGCTTGTTTACATTTGCAGGATATAATGCTGCCCTCTTCTTATTTACAATGTCACCAGAAAGTGAGAACAGGCATTTACATGGCACCTTTGTAGCTGGTATTGCAAGGTATTTATGTGCCAGATATGCTAAACATTTGTATTCCCCTTCATGCTTCGGCCACCATGCCAAAGGACATGCTTCCATGCTGATGATACTCGTTAAAAAAATAATGTGTTAATTAAAGTTGTGACTGAACTCCTTGGGGGAGAATTGTATTTAACTCTGTTTTACCCATATCCTGCCATATATTTCATGTTATAGGAGTCTCGGATGATGACCCAGCACATGTTGTCCTTTGTAAGAACACTTTCACTGCAGATTTGACAAAACGCAAAGATACCAATGTGAGATTCCTAAAGGCAGCTACAGCACTTGATCCAAGGTTTAAGAATCTGAAGTGCCTTCCAAAATCTGAGACAGTCCAATGCGGAAACTACAGAACCTGAACCACCAAAAAGGAAAATCAACCTTCTGCTAGTGGCATCTGACTCAGATAATGAAAATGAACATGCATTGGTCCGTACTGCTTTGGATCGTTATCGAGCAGAACCTGTCATTAGCATGGATGCATGTCCCCTGGAATGGCAGTTGAAGCATGAAGGGACATATGAATCTTTAGCGCATCTGGTACGCAAATATCTTGTGATGCCTGCTACCATGTGAACGCCTGTTCTCACTTTCAGGTGACATTGTAAACGAGAAACGGGCAGCATTATATCCTGCAAATGTAAATAAATTTGTCTGAGTGATTGGCTGAACAAGAAGTAGGACTAAGTGGAGTTACAGGCTCTAAAATTTTACATTGTTTTATTTTTGAATGCAGTTCTTTTGTACATAATTCTACATTTGTAAGTTCAACTTTCATGATAAAGAGATTGCACTGTAGTACTTGTATGAGGTGAATTGAAAAATACTATTTCTTTTGGGTTTTTTAAGTGCAAATACTTGTAATCAAAAATAAATATAAAGTGAGCAGTATACAGTTTGTATTCTTTCTTGTAATTGAAATCAATATATTTGAAAATGTAGAAATCATCAAAAATATTTAAATAAATAGTATTCTATTATTGTTTAACAGTGAGATTAATCGCACGGTTAATTGCGATTAATTTTTTTAATTGCTCGACAGCTCTAGTGCTGATCAAATACTATGGTGATGAGCAGAGCATTACATTTGGAGAAAGAGAAATTACATGCAATTTGTAAGAAAAATCGAGGTTGGATTTTAGAGCTGTTAAGCTTAACAGTGTAACTTTAACTTGTAAAGACAAAAGTCTCTTTGCTCTTAACACTTTGCTAAGAGAAGGACATCTCAAACTACCAGGCTGGACTTCCCATGTATGGTTTCAGTTTCTATCTTCAAACAGTATAACATTTCCTCTGTAGGTCACTGCTGGTCCTGTTCTAACAGGCAATTGTACTGTGTGTCTGTCCATGGTATTATATCTCAGAAGGCGGCGGCAGCAGAGAAGTGGATATGGAGGATGAGGATGGATACACCATTTTAAATTTTCGTTCTAGGAATCCAGCCTTCACCCATGAACCTTCAGGAACAAACAAAGGTATCACAGCCGCCTAAAGCTCCTGATGTTCCCAGTGGTAAGATATTTGCTAGGGATTTTAGTGAAATGGTAGCAATGCTATTCTTAATCTTGAGTCTAGTCTACTGTTTAACAACCAATTTTTCTAAATGATCTAGAATCAGAACGTGTACTCAGATTGCCTGGAAATTTGCTGAGTGTTACAAGGGCTTCGCATAGGGCTAGTGATCCATATTTGGGGGCATTTTGGGGAAGGGGTTCCTCAGATATGACATTCCTTTAAAAACACCAGGTCACATCAGCATTTTACAGTTCTTATAACTGTTTTGCACGCTGCTGTGACTTCTTTCCAATCATGTGCGCTCTAAGTGTTTTGTTGCACTCTGGCCTTTAAACAGTAACCAGTCTGGGAGTAAAGAATTAGGCCTGGTCTATGCTTAAAGGTTTTGCTGGCATAACAAGATTGGTTAGGAATGTGGAAAAATCACAACCCTACTAGTAGGGTTATACTGGCAAAAAAGTCCTTATGCCAGTAGGGTTGCCACCTGTCTGAGATACAGAAAAAACAGACACTGACCACCCCTGCATCAACAAAAAGGGTTCTAGTGCTAGCGATAACTAATTATTACTAAAAGGTTTTAGAGAACCATTTTACACACACAAAATAACAGTGTATTTTGATGTTTGTTTTTTCTTACCTTATCCTAACACAAACCCTCATTCTGGACTATGGGGGTGTGAATTGTAGAGTGCTCCAACATGTCCTAAGTGTGTGTGTGGGTGGGGGGGGGACCGAAACAACAAACAAATAGAAAAA